GATTTGAACTCGGGTCCCTATGCTTGCATGGCAGGCCCCTTACTGACAGAGCCACCTCCCCAGACTAGGGAAACACCTTGAGCAATCTATTACAAATGCTGTCCCAGCGGACAGGAGTGAAGTGGTGCAGGAGGTGAGGCGTGTAAGAACCTCTCAGAAGTGGCACTGTCTGGCTCCCTGACCTTTCAGGTTGCTGGAGCCGTCCCTGCATGTCTGGAGCCGGTGAGACTACGTGCTGAAAGCCAGCCAGGCCTGACTGCCTGTATGTTCTTGGCCTCTCTGTGGTACATTTTGCTTCAGGGTTGGAGGCAGGAGTGAGAGTCTTATGACCTCCTTTTGGATAAGGGCAGGTTAGAGAATCCCTTTACGGCCCGGGGATGAAATTGGTTTCTGTGACCAGCCAGCCTTGTGGGACGGGGGTCATAAACCAGGACGAAAACAAGATGTGTCATACTTTACCTTCTCCTATTTCCACCCCTGCCTCAGTTTCCTCCATGTACAGAAAAGACAAACAGTCCTGCTTATAACAAACATGTCTTCAGGAAGGTTCACCCATGTCTCTGGTGGAAATTCTCCGTACAGTCTGATAGCCATCTCACCTCTCCTGTCAAGGTTCAGTATCACAACAGTTGTCCCTGGCTGTTATGGACACACTCTGTCCTTTGTCCAGTATTCCTGGGGAACAGTAGACTTCCCTGTCTTTGGGGACCGTCTCCTCCCAAGATACTGATGCCCTAGGGGTCTGTGACATTGTCCTTCGTCCACATGTGGTTGGCTATAAGTAGATACCAGGCTAGAGCTAAGCTACTTGGAGGAAAATGCCTGTGGACTAGATGCTCAGGAGCTGTCCCTGGCCCTACACTCTTCTTCCTGGAAGACTAATCTAAAGAGAAAGGAGAAGGGCAGCTGATTGCAAAGTGGCTCATCAGGTAAAGGTGCCTGCCAATCACCACCAAGCCTGACAATATGAATTCCAGGGCCAGGACCCACACAGGAAAAAAGAATCAACTCTCACAGGTTGTCCTCCATACAGGCACTCCCTGACACACAAACACACACACACACACACACACACACACACACACACACACACACAC